GATGATGCATTATGTAAAGGAATCAGTCCACCCTTGTCCTGAGCATTAACATCAGCACCTTTTTCCAGTAAATATTCAGCAACTTCAAGGTGATTGTAACCAGCTAGTACAATAGAAAGAGATGGTTCATATACCAACAAACCTTGCCTAGGGAGGGAGGGGTGAGCGTTTGCACTGTGTTAAATACAACTTTATGACAGAACATTGTGCAGAATTATTCCGTTATTTTGTAGACTACCAAGCTTCACATTTGTTATAGATTAARGTAAATAAACAAAATATGTGTACACAAGATTGGATTATAAAAATATGATACAACATTGATCAAAAAGAGTCCAACAACAAAGGTATTCCAGCTAAACAAAATTCCATAAAGCAACTCCCCTCCCCCCTCCCTCATCAACGGAAATTGTGGTCATTGCCAAATCACCCTTTAACTCACCAGCCAGATGTAATGGAGTAGAGTTTCTTCCTTGTGTGTCACGACAATTGATGTTTTCAGGGTTGGCCAGCTTTGTGACCTTGAGGAATAATAAGATACGATAATATATTGATTGTCATCAGAAACAGTCAAAATCCCCAAAAGACATTTAAATAAACATGGATAAACATTTCAGTTTGGTCTTCAATGGAAAAAAGACTATGGAATCTACATGTCATTTCAAGATCGCGTGTACGCACGATTCATGGAATACAACCGACATATACCACCAATTTCAACAATTGTTTTCGGATGGCAATTAAAGTCAGAGCTATCAAACCTACCCTTGTAAGGTTGCCTTTCTTTGCAGCGTCAAGAAGAGCAGCATCACCTTGATATCACAGGAATTTTAGTTTAACAGTCGTTGCCACGTTTTTATTATTATTATCATCATCTTTTTAGTTGACTGAATAGTCTATCATTTTGAAATTTTTCAGTTCCTTATAAAGGTAAACTGTATTTCAAGAACAACATAGTTTTCCAATGATTAAAAACAAAATAGTGCATATCAAGGGACTAGAAACACCGTTGCAGGTCTCACCTCTCAACAGGTCTGCTACATCATTATCCCCCT